CGCTGTTGTTGTAATGTATTGGGAAGCCAGAATGCGCATCCATCAACAGAAACATATATTAGCCGAACCCTGTTTGTTTTACGTGTTATTTATAGCAAACCATATTACAGATTCGTTGTCAGATTTAAGTTGAACCGCGGTCCTTGCGCGACAGGATAATAAATCTTTGAAGTCCACTTTTACGCTCTGTTTCCAAACACTTAAAATGACAAATAAATGCATACTCCGAAAGCGCTCCTCAAAACGTGTGATTATACCATCTGGGTGCTCGAAATTGAACGGGAGAATGCACATTTTAAACCGTTTATTGTACAGGTAAGTTAATCGCCGTTCTAATCTATTGCACTGCTGCATTGTAATGCACACACATAGTAGCTTGTACATCACATGCAGATCATGCGCGCAGAATCATTCAGTAGCACGTAAATGTATTGTCAACACAGTTGATTTCTCAATAATATAGCTTAGAAACTGAAAAGTTCTAGCATGTATTTCTTAGTAACTAAAATGCACAGCTTCACTATTAGTAGAGGAGCTGCCAGATAGAATTAAATCACAAATGCAGTTGCTCTCTCACTAATGCATTAAAAGTAATCTTTACAGTGCTACTTCATTTGTGTCTGATTTAGAACAAGCAGCAACCTGTGAGAAATATGACGACCCAAAGACTGATAAAAATGAGCTGTTATAGGAGCAATAGCCATGTGGGAAGAAGTACGGATGTACATAAAGTATCTAAAGTTCATGTAAAGTTTTTAAAATAAATAGGTAGGCACAGTTTACTTCTGTCTACAAAATGAATTTCAGGCATTTAAGTGTAAGCCTTTAGATCTCAATATTTTAAAGATAAGAACATTTTAGTCTTAACATGTCCAGATTTTTAATGGGTCGTGTATTTGAGCATTGTACCAAAGCGTCTTTGAAAATAGATGAAACAGTACATAGACATTCAATTTGTCATATCTGACACACAATAATGAGCAAAAGTCATTTTCGTTCTTTACAAGCTCTTGTTTCTGAAGCGTTTGGTGTCGTCTCTCAGTCACTGTATTAATGAGTACCTGACAGATGTGTTTTTAAGAGGGATGCCTTGAGATGGTCAGCTTTTACCTCTCTGAGCGAAAGAAAGACTGCTACAATCACAGGAAGCAATTACTCCTTGATGCTGTCTACTGTTGCCATGGCAACGCATCACCTCTATTGAACCCTTTTCACTACTGTCTGACTACCTTTTCTTTCCGTGCGTCTCAGATGGGGGAGCTGTGGTGCTCTCATGCTCTTAACACAGACGATTCTTCTCTTAGTGCTCAACCTCAATACTAGAAATGCAGTCTGATTCAAATTCGCTTAGTTTAGTGACATTTGTGACACAGAAGTTCTTTATGGAATTCAAGAATATTATATTGAGAATCTGACATTGAGCCATTGAAAGCATTCCTAGAGACACTTTTTCATAAGATGGGAATAAATCTGAAAAAAAAAAAAAAAAGGTTTATATAAAGTATTAAAGAAATATGAATTCTGTGGGGATTTTTTCTTGTATGCATCTCTTTTCTATTGACATTGTTCACAGTGCTCATATCTATCAAGCTTGAAATTAAAAAAAAACTGAAAATGACAAAAACTGTAAGATTTTTTACATCTGTTCTTCGCGCAGACATGTATTTAGAATAGTGGAATATATTGCAAGAGTTGTATATTAAAACAGCACTACTTTTAAAGTGCTTTTTTTGTCATTTTTAATAGTATTTTACTTTACTTTACTTTTACTTTTAGTCATTTAGCAGTATGTGTATGTACTGCCACACACATATACATATACATTAAATATATACTGTATATATTATTTCATTTCCATTTTGTATGTTGAAGTACTGAAATAACTCAAATTAAATACAAGTAAAACTTAATAAAAAGCCTATATAGACATAATAAAAAAACTAATAAAATGACAACATGACTACAACTGTAACTAAAACTAAAATAGATAACTAATACAAATCAAACTACATTAGTTTATCAGTAATCCTAAAAAAATAACACTGAGCCAAACACACATGCTAAAATAACAACAACTTACTGACACATAGTAAGAAATAGTTTATAAAAACCTGAAACAGAAGTGGAAAGAGGAGAGATAAAAAGCGATACTTATGTCCTTTGCCGGTGTCGTCGCACGGTAGAGTCGATGGTCTTTACACTCTTCGGTCTGCACACGACCGCAGCCGCGACCGCTTCCGCGGTAAACTAAGCTTCTTTTTAATTAGTTTAACAAAACTCAAATTGAATTCAGCTGGACACACTTTCCTGTTTATCCCAACAAATGGCCAAGCAAAGCGCACAACACTAACAAGGTACGCGATACAGTACGAGACCAAACGCCATTATTTTAACCTTCTAATTTGTCCAGTCATTTGATTTGTGTTTTTGTAAATAATTAAAACTTCTCTGCTATGCCAGTGACTTATGCTAATACTGAAGTAAACCAATAAATAACTTATTACATATCAGTGTTTTGATAGATTTTTGTTTTGTTGTTTTTACATCATTAAGCAGTAGGCTAATGTTAATGCTTCTCATTTCTACCAATATAAGGATGTTAATGGTTTAGCCAGTTACCTTTACTGCATAAATCTAAAATAATCTAAAAAGCTCCTAAAAATACTGAGACTCATTATTTTGCACATCCTCATTTGGTTTTAAGTGTTAGAACTTCATTCATTATATAGAGTCACATTGCTGCTTGATTATATTGTCCTTTAACAGCATATTTGTTAAGAATAACAAATGTGTTTTAAGTGAATCCTACAAATATACAAGTTATCAGCATAATGTTGACAGCAAAATATATTTGGCTCATATTTATTATTATTATATTAAAGCTAAATAAGTGGTTTTAACAAGACAATTGCAAAAGAAGTCTGCACTTAGCTATAAATATGTGCTGGCATTAGATTGCTGTGAAAGACAAGGTCAGGAAATGTATTTAAAATGAATTTAGTGACCCCCGAGATTGCTGATTGACTATTTGTTGAATAAACTTTATTTTTGAGTCTTGGCTCAATGTTGTAATTTATTTGTGGATAGTACTAAAATGCTAAAACGATTTCTTAGTGCCTTATTACTAAGTCAGTATTAGCAGCCTGTGTTTAATGCTTTTTATGGCTCTGTGATAGTATCAGTTCATCATAGAAAGAAATATAGAATATTGCTCAAAATATTGCTCACATCAAGGTCTCTGTTTAAGCAGTCTACAGCTGATCAAGGTCACCTGGATCTGCTCTGGAGTCATGAAGTACTCCAGACAGTTGTTCAGATAACCTTGGTGAGCAATCAAATCTTCCCAGGCAGCACTCGAGACACAATTAACTGTGGTAAACCAAGTCCTTTAA